CGAGACAACAGTTTTAGGTGGAAAAAAAAAAAAAAAGGTCAGTCTAATTATCTGCAGCACACAAATGTCCCTAGTAAAGTCACTGATAACAAAGCAGGTCAAAGTGATTAAACAAAAGAAGATTTGCAACCTGGCTGGTATTCTTCTGTCCTCCATTGCCTAATTTCCCTTTTCTTCACTGGGCATATTGCATTTCTCCTTCCAGGAGATCAATGCAAGCTTACGCAGATCATTAGCCCAGATGAAAAATAGTTTGTCAAGAGATGAAATACTTTCAGTGATATGACAATGGACTATTTGTGCATGGTGAGCCTGAAAATAAACAAGCAGGACAGAAGCACAGAAGGAAAATGATTCAACCGGTGATGCTCAGCTTGCAGAAAGTTGTCAACTTGATCCATATAGCATGTCTGAGCTCTGAGAGTGAGCATCATGTAAGTGATAATCCTTCATTTAACAGTTGGACGATTCACGGAGGAGAACTTCTCAATGGATCCTTCTCTGACAATTACTAATTTGCTTGCTGCACTTGTCTGGCACAAAGGTTTTAAGTCAACTCTGAAACTCTTAAAGGGCACATTAAATGAAAAACGGCAGACAACTATGTATTCATTGGCAGTTCCAGTACAGCATTGCTTCACCATGGTCTGTACCACAAGTTGCCAGGTAATCTCTGCTCTGGCACCTGGAGCACCTCCTCCTCCTCCTCGTTCTTCACTGACCTTGGTGCCTACAGGACCTACAGTTTCACATATTCTCATTTCTCTCTCAGTCTACACCTGTGGTGTTTGGGGTTTTTTTACCGCGTCTTAAATATGTTATCCCAGAGGTGCTACCACTGTTGGGCTTGGCCTTAGACAGTAGTGGGTCCGTCTTGGAGCTGGCTGGTATTGGCTTTGTCAGACACAGGGGAAGCTTGTGGCAGCTTTTCACAGAAACCACCCCTGTAGTCCCCCAACCACCACGTAAATCCAACACAAACTTAAATTTACATTGCAAGGGGCACAAATTTTATTTTTTTTTTTTTGCTGTGATTTCTCTGTGTCTAAAACTCACCCCTGACTACTATTTTCAGTTTCTTAAACTTTGTTGAATTCTCCTTAAACATTTTACTAACTATAGAATGATAAAGTAATTAATTTTAAGAAAGGAATCAAATACTGAGACTCTGATAGGAATAATATCATTATTATCCAAATGACAGCAAGAGTTATAATTTTTTCTCCTTTTTATTAGTCAGCCTGGCTCACTGCTACTTCATGAGAAAATGTATTGCAGATAATGCTGCAGCACACAATTTGATACAGAACTCCAGACAGCTATTTCTGCTCAGAAATTAACTCAGATTAATGTGGCGATAATTGTTGGAGCTCAGTTACATGTTTTAGCTAATTAAAGACTGAGTGAAATGCCATAGAAGAGACAGTAACATTTGTTAACAAGAATACACTAATGATTTGGTTGTTCTGATTCACCTCTGAAGAGGTTAAACTGCTAAAGCTTTCTTTGAACTAGTAAATATGTCAAATTTGGGTTATTCTTTATCTTGTTTAAAAGAAAGAAACTATATTTCATCTCATCAATAAAAAAAAAAGTAATTGATTACTCCATTTACTTCCTAAAATTACTCAGAATTTGTATGTGTTGTAATCCTTGTTCTTATATTTTTTCTATGTAGGTTAGTAAATTTCACTTTCTTGTGTTTCTTATAGTTGTCTCCTGCTAACAATTTTGAGCCCTGCTAAAGCAGTAAAAACTAATTTAACAGAGGAAAAGAAGTCTCAGGGCTACATTATATATTGCGTCAGGCATATAATTTGCATATATCAATTAAAACTGTTGTATGTAATGAGTTGGTGACCTCTTTCAAAAATAAATGCAAATGCAATGTAAAATTAAAGATATTTCTTAAATTAAAATGTCTTCTTTTTAAATCTGAATTAAGGTCATAATTTGCCTAAAATGATTTCATTTAAGTAGCATATCCTTGGACTTATTGTCCTATCCTGTCCATGTGATCAAGTAAATTACTATATATTTCCTTCTTAAAGCTCAAGTTAACTTCATTAGATTTAGCTAACAGAAGAGTCCAAGTCACTCATGATTCTGAACATTACTTTATACATAGATTAAATATTAAAATAACGATTTTTTGATTAGCAAGACCTTGATCTGGATACTATGACTATTCCATCCAGCCACTCTTAAGAAAAGATATTTTGACCAAATTTCAAGAAACAGTTTCTGGCTGTGTAATGGTCTTGTGATCAAACCTTTCACTAAAGAGTTTTGCAACTTTTAGTCTATTAAAACCAATAAATTTGGGTCATCATTATTTTAATTCCAACATATGTGGGATTATACAAATTCCTAATGAAATAACCATTAAAGTCTATGAGTCATTTTGTCCATCAAAGAAATTTTTTCATGTTTGCAGACCTTTTTAATAATGACCATCACCTTTCAGAAGCAAAAGATTAGAAAAAATGAAACGTTATCCATCCCTCTCCCCAAGTAATGGTGCTACTATAAAAATGTTGGAAATTTGATTTTGAAAAATGTGAGACAGGAATGTATGAGGTATTTTTAAACTTTTTCTAAAATGGAAGGATGGTAAGATTAAAATACTAAAGCAGAGAATCAGAAGATGCTATCTCTTTGCACTGATTAGCAGCCATACAAGTAATGTGACTATTTGAACCTATTGTCCCATGATATAAAACAGGGATTTCAGCTTAATTTGAAAGATAATTTAAAAGATCAACTCTCTGTGAACTTAAAGCACGTTCTTGATGAATGCTACATAAGTTTATGGAATACATTACCTAAAACTGGGGTAGTTCTGACATCTGACATAGATGTGTTTACATTCAGAACAAAGTTTGGGTCATCTCTCAGAAATGCATTTTAGAGCAAAAGAAAAAACAAGTCAGTGTGTGGAAAAAAAGACCTGATTTTCCAAGGTAAAAGACACAAAAAGATAGTTGAGAAAGTCAATTCTACAAGAAAAAAATGAACTATACTTTTTATTATGATGATGATGCCACTGTTACTACAGAACATTTCAGTCACTCTGCTGAAATAGGAGTCTCATTTTACTTCAGAGTTTTGATTTGCTTTAAAGTAGGACACTTCACACATTGGTAAAATAATATCAGCTAAAATACATCTTGCTGTGTCTGTCTACAGTGGATGCTATTCACTCTGTCAAAGCCAGCAGAATATCTGTATCCTTATCCCGTATAATAGAAAACAATTTTTAAAAGAGCACTGATCTTTCTTGCTATATGTGACTTGCTTCTAGGAAACCATAAATTCAGTTCCAGACTCCACAAGTCCAATCTTATGTTCTGGCCTTTATTTTTATTGTAATTCCTCTTAGACAAGCTGAGAAAACTTCTACAGAACTCACATAAATAAATGAGTTTACAATTGAATATAATTTTCAGTGATTTTTCATAAATGGAACTGCTACTTAATTATGGTTTGGTTTTTGTGAAAATTATAAATTGACCACATGCAATTTTCTGACTAAATTCTCAACAACTCAAAAGTTTTCCAGCACTTATCTCCTGTTACCAGAAAGACATCAACTGTGCAGATAAAAAGACCATATACTCGCCAGAGAAGAAATGATACTTTTTCTGCTGTCTGCATAGGCCCGAGCAACAATCTATGTTTTGTAAATAACAGAAGTAATGAGAAAAAGCTGGATATGCTTACATTAAAGTAAAACTGTATTTCTAATCAATACCTTCTATCTAAATTGCAGGTATATAAAAACAGAAATGAAGCTGTTCTGATATTCCCCCTTAAGGGTCTATCTCTAGAAATCATTTGCTGGATACTGAAATCCTCTGCAGTAAACTCAAAAAACATCTTGCACCAGCAGAGCAAAGAAGTCTGTAGCTGACAGGCAAGCTTGGAATAAGAGCCTATAGCTCCTACTATTCAGTTTCTTTTTATTCAGAGTATACATTTCAACTTATCATTAGCTGCTGAGTGACAAGACAGACAAGGAAAAGGTCATTCATTAGCACAGTGTTATCTAATTTATTTCAGTTAAAATATTGATCACATCGATGGTAAATAAGATAGATTCAGACAGCCGTTGCACCTCCAGGCCTATAAGCATTTTACTGTCATGTACTTGGCATTTTTCAAAAGGAAACATTTGCATTCCTTATCATTGTCAGAATTACAATATTTCTGTCATGAAGTTATAATTTCTTGTTTATACACACTAATTTTGTAAATATTATGTAATCTAATGTATAACTGCAAATTAAATAATTGCTTCAGTGCTGATTGACGCAATAGATCCACTGAAGCAAAGATCTTTCAATTACAAACTAAATTATTAGATAACTTTGAAGTGGCTTTAAAAACCCAATTTGTTTATGGAAATTGATAAGAAATTATGTTCAAGCAGCAGGACAGAAAATGAAACAATATGAAAGGCAGGCAAGAACACCAAACAGCAAAAGTGTTTCTTTGGCTATCAGTCTTATGTTTTGTGTTCTGCAGCTACCAAATAACCGTGCTCTAGTGGGATATAATTACCATTTAATATCTGGCAATATATTCAATTACTTATATTTACTCTTTTATCTAGATCTACATGCTATTTGGGAATAAAAAAACTGCAGAATCTAAAAGGTAGTATAGCACAGCCCCCCCCCAAAAAAATTGTGTGATTACTTACCTTTCTACATTCTGAATTTGTCATGGGAGCATTTAAATTTCTAAGGACTAGTCTTGATGGTTAATGATGTCTTTTCTTGTTTTAGCTAGTATTGGAATTTCTTGCTTATATCAAGATCTTGCTATCTTATATCCAACTAATATCATGATTGACTTGAAAAAAGTCAATCCGGTGGATAATGTCAGGGAAAAACTAGTTAACTCGTTTCCTATTAGGTAACTCACAAAGCATAATACCTGAAAGTATGCTGTACTTTCTTTTTTTTTTTTTTTCCTTTTTTTTTTTTTTTAAATATGAATGCTCAAATTTCTGGACTACCAAGAGGTAAATTGCTATGCAAAATCACGTGTCTTCTTCTATAACTTAAGGTTAATCCTTATACATTCTTTCAGAGTATGTCACTGGATTGTCACATGTCCTTAGTATATCAAATAGACCTCAAAAGGGAAACACTGAGCTACCCAGAGAGATGAATTTTAACCAAATTTGTACATTTTGATTAAGGCAAGTAGGTAGCTCATTTTTACAGAATTAATTTTATTATATAGCTCAAGCTGCTATTTCCCCAGCTTTTGTATACTCTAAATAAAATTTTCCTCACAGCATTTATTTTTCTTGATACAGTTTGAAAGGAAGTAATAGATTCAATTCCACTTACGGTGACTAAATTTTTATTTTTACTGGTGTACAACAGAATAGTTCACAAGCTGGAAATCTCATCTGTTCAAAAGGACAGAAAATAAGTTTTCAACACTCATTCTTCTACAGTTGTCATTTCTGTTTCATTATCTTCCTTTTTCTTTAAATTTGTTCCTCTGGTCAACTTTTCATCATACTTTTGCTTTCAGTTTCTGTTATGTTCTTTCTCTTTGTAAATTCCTATAGAAGTTTTTCTTTTGCTATGGTATTATTCAGCTTGACATAAAAGCATGATCACGTGTTCTCAGTCCTTCAGATCTTGAGCTGTTGTCCTGAATCTTTTCTTATATAAATGTAACATGGGTTTCTTTTCAATTCAGCATGATTTTGGGTTCTGTGTGCCACTACGTAAGAAAAATAACGTCTTCATGAACTAATATTTTCATCCAGCACTTTGTGATGAATAGGTACCTGGTTTTACCCTGTATCTTTTTAGGATAGAACTTAATAATCATTGACAGTGGTTTTCTAGCTGTGTGATCACTTTTTATTACTGTCCTAATAACTTTGTCCACCAGAGAATGATATCTTGAGGAAGTTGTTCAGGAATTTGACTGGGATGTAGTTGAAGAATTCCTCATAGAGGAGTAATATTTCCTCAGTACCTGTTCTGATGACTCTTTGGTATTTGTCCCTGTGGACTGAGCAGAGATTATTCTCCTCCCTGAAACACATTTAGTATGCACCCATCTTGTAATGTCACAGTCTGTTCTACTAAATAGCAAGGATCTGGAATTCACAAGTATCTGCTTCTCTCATGATCTGAGAGGACTTTGTTCAAAAGGTCAATCTCATATCATTAACGGTACATGAGAAGATTCACAGCTATTAACCTTAACTTACTGATTCTTAACCCTAAATTACTTTGAGGGGAAAAGAGGCATAATAAATCACTTAAAAATGACACTGACAGTTACCTGAAAATTTGAAAAAAGAAGAAAGTAGTTGATCTTATATTTAATAACCTTATTGACACATATCAATTACATTCAACTGTGATATACTCAAGCCAAGACCAGAGCAGGTTAAGATGTAAATATATAGCACATCAAGAGGAATTCAGTCCTATTACTATCAATAATTCAGCTTACATTTTTTTTTTACCATAGACCTTTATTGTAATAAAGAAATTGTCCTAAATTCTCCCTTTTTCCTTGTAATGAATTGTGCACTGAAAGTTGCGTATTTCCCCAGTTATATTTGTTGTTGAGGGTTATGCACCTTTTCTTTTCTAGGAAAAAAATCATCATGATGATAACAGTTATTTGATATTAAAACAGTTTGCTTGCTTCTTTGGAACAATAAATGTAATTCTCTGAATAAATTTTTGTTTGTAATTTCTTATGGAAAACAAGTTCTAAAGTTTGTAAAGATTCACAGGAAATTCTGTTTCATGTGTAATGGTCAAGAAGAGTCACTATAAGAAAAGTTTAATTACCAATATTATCAGGAAAACTCAAAGTGAGGTCATAGTCACAATTTTTCCTCAATTTAGAGTTCTAATATATGTTAGATTTTCATCCAAATTGTCTTAAGCAATAAGATCTAGAATTTATTAAAGAAAATTTGTCTAAAGGAAGATATAAAAACAAACAAAAGACTAGAAAATTTGGTTATACTAACTTTTCCTCTTCCCAAGTGATAGTAGGAGTTTGAAATAAATGCTTAAATAAACAATTCGTATCTCCAATGTGGAGATTATTACAAGAATATCAATCTTGTATTAATCAGGCTAGTTAAATTAGTTAATTAGTTTAATTAATTAGCTAGTTTAATTAGTTAAAAGTTATGCTAGTGATGATTGTTTATAATCTTTCTGTTGGAATTTATTAAGGACTACAGACAAAAAAATGCAAAACCTCTCCTGAGAAACTGTAACAGCAGAATTACATTTCTGCCATATCACTTTTTTAGCATTTAAATTTTTATTAAAAAATATTCCCAAAGGGCATAGATCTAACAATAGAAAGTACCCACTTAAGCCCCAACTGGAAGTGAGTCTCAATAAATATAACAGCATTGCAGACAACCCTGTTGCTAATTGTTGTAAAACTGCCAGCCTGAGAATGACTGAATGCTGCAATATGTGTTGTACTGACATTCTGAAGAACTGTTCAATGAGCTGGAGGGAAATACTTTAGGTACAGTTTCTTTGCATTTGTAAGATTCCCATTATTACAATAAATTAATTTCTTAGTTCAACAGACCTTTCTCTTATTTCCCAGGGACACGTTTAAACAGTCATGTTAAAACTCTATGTGTTATCAGTGTAATTTCAAAATTTTCTGTACATTCTTTATTAGTAATTGATATATTAAGCCAGCTTTTATTTCTTTGGTATATGAGTATAAATGTTCATCTCATAATAAATAATTCAAACTGAACAGACACTTACAAATGAACCGCATTTAAAATCAAATTTATCAAGCACTACTGAAAAGTTTAATCTAGGAATCTCATTTGTCTTACAAGCTCCACAACTAAGGATTATAATTATTTTTAAAATATTTTAAATTGCACTGGCATTTTCAAAAGAAATATTTCAGACAGAAGAAGTACAGAAGACATTTTTTTACTCCAAGATAAAGTTTTTAAAAAATTAATTCTCTTTCTAAAGTGTCCACAATGTATTTAATAGTATAAATGAAACAGACAAACTCAAGAGTGAGTGAGTTATGTTTTTATTCTGAAATTACAAGCTCCATGCTGGGATTAGTTACAGTACATGTAACCTACAGATAGAGTAACTCAGAGCATATTAATATGCTGATAGTCATTTGTCTTTTAATTCCTGTCACAGAATTTTAAGAAGATAATTATGTTTTTCTCCACCTCTTCCTCAAAGCTGAGTAATATCTTTAAGGAAAAGAAATTATGGTCTTGTTTCCACCCCAGAAAGCATTGTACCGTCACAATATTGTAATGAAATATATGAGTTGTCTGATTAACAGGCAATTGATTTGGTGCCATGGAGCAGAAATCACAGAACAGAGAACTACTGCATTTCCTTCCTCCTCCCCAACTACTGTATGAACAATCAAAAGACTGAAGAGGAAGGTATAATGTCTAAATTATAATAGTTGTATTTGCTTTGATCTTACAGTGAGCACAGATAGCTTTCATTGGAATACAATGACTAGGAAAATATAAAAGTTTCCTTCCTATACATCAGTGACTTCATAAGGGCGTAGGAGCTGCAATTCCCGGAACAGACACTATATAGTAAAGTCCTAAACTGAGTTGATTTGATGAACTTTAAGTGTAACATAGCCACCTGAAAGATACCTAAGGGAAGCTAACTGATTGTTCTATATCTAGGCTACCTCTTTTGTGTGTCATTGCACCACTGTTGTCCTTTTGCACACTGCTCACCACGAACAATCAGAGAATTTGAGCCTGCCCCTCACTGCTGCATCTACCCCACTTTGTCTGCATGTGAACATAAGGAAAGGGAGTAGCTGTGTGCAATATTAAATTAACATAGGGCTCTGTAGTATATGCAAGGTCATGAGAGATTAATCATTGTTTTAAGCATAGTTCTGTGATTAAACAGAAGAGTAGTCTTGACTTTCTTTTATCTATTGTACCCCTCGGTTTCTATGCCTTGGCATTCGATTTCTCCTTTCTTACCTACCTGCCTCTGTTGCCATCCATTTTACTGTACAGTTCTTTTACTTCCATTTCCTTCAGTTTCTTACACAGACAAAATTTCTGTTTTCACACAACAGAGTGTGACTTTAGGTTGTTATCACCTCATTATTTTCCTCCTCACATCTGTTTTTGATCTGTATCTTTGGTGCACATTTCACTTGATGCTAGATCTTGATTATACGGCTGACAAAACTGTATGCTTTTGCAATCAATGCAAAGCTGCATGACAGATTACATTACTAAACTGAATAATGTCTATAATTATTTTTATTAAAAGTCTGCTAAATAAAGCAAGCTAGAGAAAGAACACAGTCAACAACACCAAGGTGCAATTAATCTCAAAAGTTTTGTTAAATTTAAAGAAGCAGAAACAGATGCTACTCCACTGTACCTGTGGCATCGCTTAGTAATAGGCTGCCTATTGGAAACCTCTTCACCTAAGCAGCTTGGAGGTGTGAAGTTTTAGGAGCAAAAGGAACCCTTTGATAAGGTTGGAGAAAACCTTCCCCTCAGGTAGGGCAGGTAGCAGAATGGGATCAGGGAAGCACAAAACAAGTGTCATAACAAGGGCTGTATTTGAAGGGCTTCAGCTTTGCTGAAGTGCAGAAAGCTGCATCAGCCTTGTGAAGTCCTTGCAGTGAAACGAAAAAAAGCAATTCTGCTATTGTTCAACCTTTCTGCTTCTTTATCCATATAGTGCTCCTTTACGTATTAGGCTTTATAACTGAGTCTATTAATTATTAGATATACCATGTAGCTTATCAGAAACTATTTTTATCTACAAAACATATTTTAGTTTAGCTGCATTTTAAGTGCAACAGAAAAGTGCCACAGAACTTTCATAAGATGACATGTTGATGCCCCTTAATACAATCACGAGAGAATCAACATATTTTTGAATCCCTGAACATTTTCTCCCTTGATCATCCCTGAACTCCACCTAGATCACCTAGGCCAGAGCAAAATATAGACTAGGTAACCAAGTATTTCTCTCACATACACACAAAAGAAACAAATTTACCAGTGGCAATGGACCAAGACAGCAGGAAAATGGTCATATAAAAATAACTTTGCTTACACATAATTGAGGAATGGAGACACTTCTTTGGGACTTACCAGTCTGCTACTGGGTATTAATGAGCAATTACACTGTGGGAGCATTAGACTTTTCTTGTCCTTCCCTTAAATTTTTTCTAGTCCAGTATCGAGCTATGCAAATTTATCTTGTATTTGTGAATTAGTTACTAATAATTTTATTCTTGAGTTAATGTAACTGAGTAACTACGAGTAGGTAGTTTCCCCAGAGATTAAGAAGCTGTCAGATCCCAGTGACATAATCAAATACAATAGAGATGAGGTGATAGGACTGCACAGCACAAAAACAGAAGTGTGCAGTTGCTGAAGCCAATACTGATGTGCTCAGTGCTGAGCTGAGAGGTCGTGTGTGTCTCTTAATGACACAAGGTCTCTTTAGTTCCAAATCTGATCCTAATTCAGGGGTCTTGCATCAGACTGAGCTGTATGAGATAACCAAAGGGCATTAATGATAGATTTTTGAGGGAATGTCACACTTAGTAGAATTTTTCCCTTTTGAATACTTAGAAATGTTATTCTTAACACATGGCTTTTGCTTTCTATTTTTGCTCTCTATTAATACAGCTGCAGTGCTCTAATATAGTAGTGGGTAGCATACAGGATTATTTTTAAAAATGGCAATTTGTTGAATTTTAAAACTTTTATGAAAATTAACTAACCACTGAAAATGAGAGTGAAAAGAATTACACAAAGACAAAAAAAAAATCTCAAAACAGAGGAACATTTTCTTCTGTTTTCACATAAAACCGGTTGCTAAGACATGGTTTGCTAAGCTTTTCTTGATTATCTGATATATACTATATATATATATTTGAGATATAGATCTAGATCTATAGATAGATAGATAAACAGATAGACATATACCACAAATTAGGTCTATGGTGAAACCAAACTTTTTTTTTTTCCTTTTAAATATGTTCATTATTGGATACTTCTACAAAGAATAGTTTCAATTTTTCCAGTCCCTTATTTCCAAAACTTGAACTTTGGTTGGTTGGGTTTTTGGGTAGGTTTTTTTTGGTGATGTTGTTGTTGTTGTTTTTCTTTTTCAAAATCTTTTGGCAGAAGTGAAATGTAATGTGTGCAAGAATAACGCACATCCAGGGGGAAACCATGGGTTGACCTAATTTTTTTGTCAATGTCTAAAATATGAAAATAAGCATATTAAAAGGGGACATATCAGCAGAAAGAGTGGTTTTGTTTTCCTCTGAACTTTTAAGACTGCATGCAACAACCAAAAAATTAACCAATTACCTACAGCTTAGACGAGAAAAAAGGAATGTTTTATTTGGAACAGTCATTTACATCTGCCCATATTAAAAGACTATTCATGTTCACTGGCACTTAATTACAGCATATCTGGCTATATTAACTGATATTTCTGATACAAAGAATGGAAATTATTTTAGTAGATTTCTGTTATTTGCAGTGTTGACAAAATTGCATACCCGTTACTATTTTGTCTCAAACCATTTAAATATTTTGGCAAAACAATGAGCTTTTTCTAAGTCTAATAAGGCCATTAGTTTATAAATATTTCTAAATTAATAAACAATAAAAGCAACTTATTCTTTATGAGAAAAACTCTGAACTATTCCTTTATGCTTAATATAACAGAAAATCCATTTCCACACTACAATCACTCTGCAGATAGAAAAGCAACAAATTAAAAGTCTTTGTAAATACCTCCTTTCTCAGTGAACAGAAAATACATTCTTTTCCCACAAACGTGGATGTATCATTTGTAGACATTGCAGTTTAATAGTATATAGCTTTTATGCTTACTTTATAAGTTTCTCTTATGATAATGAGCAATATTTGACTTTTGGAAACTTACTTTTTTTCATATAGTATTTTTGGTAGATTCCTAAATTTACAGGGAAAGAGGCTGTTATAGATAATAACCGTGGGCATTTAGTTCAGTATTTAGTACAATATCAGTGTATTTTCTCATAAAGAAGTGTGAGTAGAAGTTACTTACCAAAGGTCTTCTCCCTGACATACTTCAAAGAAAGTGACATGAAGAAACAGATTTGTGAAGCCCAGGAGTTTCAGTTTACCATCCTCTTCTATTCCTATTTTCCCAGTGCACTTCTTCTTTAGAAACACAAACTTGGTTTTGTCCTCTTAGAAAGAACTCAAGCGTCTCTAATTTTTTGATTTTTTGTGAGGTCATAATCACAGTTTTTAACGTGATTTGCAAGACAAAAAAAGCTTGTTGTGAATTACTGGCCACAAAATTAATGCCTGAAACAGAGGTGGATTAAATTTATTTCATACTAGTTGCAGATAACAGAGCTAAACAAAAATTAGAATTATTTTCTGCTAATCCAGTTTTAAAAAGGGAAATATGATCTTTGTCAGTACATAAGCACTAATATTATTTTTTCAGTAAGCTTATAAACCTTTATATGTAGCAATATAGAGATAATTAAATCAGTAATTTCATAGTGTTTCAGCAATATCCTTAATAATCCATAAAGACAAGAGTAATCATTCTAATATATTTAGCAAAAAAACTACTTTAATGGCTTACAACTTTAAGTTCTGCGCAAAGTCCAGGTTTTAACAACTTTGATTTTGATAGGTTGGAATGATCTTTCACATATTTCTTTCTAGAGCTAATATTAGAAAAAAGTAAAGCTTCATAGAAATAATTACCTTTAAAAATGAACTTCATATTTTGCTAGTTCCTTTCATATGAACAAAAATACACAAGACGACACCTATTCTTGAGCTGTGTTATGCTGCAGGCTGGGCAGAATATCACAAAATGCCTAAATGCTATTGACATGAGATGAGGTATTGGTTTAGATAAACCTTTGTTTTGACCTACAAAGCAGATTCTTTTACCCTTAAGAGTTATTAGCTGATGCTTAGCATTATAATATTTGAATTGAAATGGCTACTAGAAGTACCTGTGATCAAAACAAGATAGTGGAAGGATAACAGCAAGTAAAATTTCAAGCAAGGACTATAAAATGCACCTTCTGCCTCAAAAAAATAAAGTTTAATAGGGGAAAAGAGGATAAAACCCCCACATATTTCCAATAATTGTCATATTTTGGTGCTCCTTAACTGCTAAAAAAGCTCTTTGAATAGCCCTTATCACCCTTGCCAATCAAATGTTCAACAGACTCAGTTCTCCTATAGTAGCTTACAGAGTTCAGTGATTTTGGAATAACCTGCTTAAAAATATAATTTTTAAAATCATTGAACTGCAGGAGAGAACATGTCAGTGTTGGAAGTATTACTGGAAGGAAATGAGGGAAGTTGGTCCTTTACTGTTACTTCTGGTCAGGTATGGGTACAGCAGTGGGAGAGGCTGGTGATCTGGGGAGAATACAAGGATTCCCTTAGGCTGGGTGAAGTACAGGGAAAAATTAAGAAATTCATGTCAGGCAAGTATGGAATATGACAAGCTGATTTTATTCTGCCTTTATCTGCTGATAAGTAAGTACTCTCACCTCATTTTTTCTCTTACAGTGATTCTTGTCAAAACACAAATTCCATAATCATTAATTAGCCCAATAACAGGAGACTTCATGAAATCATATACAGAGAGATTCTCATATAATTTCATGCAATGTAATATCCAAGGAAGGTATTCCTACATACTTTAATACAACACAATACCTTAAGAAACTCTGCAGTACGATGCCTTAATAGAAAAAAAAAAAAAAAAGGCATTTACATTGGTAGCAAAGCTATCCAAACCACAGATGTATACAAAAAATTTACTACTATCAAAGTTACTGTGAAATAAAATGAGGAAAAATAAAACTCAGTACAGATTATCTCACATCTCTCAGTCCTAGGTTAGCTTTTTGCTTAGGACAGTGGGATCCAGTCACTCCAGAACCCTATACACAAATACACAATTGCACCTGCTACCTTTCACAGCTAAGAATTATATGTTTTTTATGTACAGTTGTTTCCCCTGCAGTTTTGTCTTTTTGTAGTACTTAGACTACACAGACATAAATATGGGGTTCATTGTGGAGGCAGAGAACAAAGAAAAACATGTTTTCAGCAGAAATTCTCAGTACAGAGGTGAAAATATGATTTGGGCAATTCATAGCCAGTTTGATATTTATGTATCGATTCCATGACATCCTCTACCTAATCTAAACATGAAGCGTGTATGTGTCTGAGTTCCTCCTTTATTTCTCTTAAGATAAAGACAGATTCCTGCTATATGCATTATTGGCATGCTGGACAACCTTTGGAAGGTTTTTTATTTACCACAAAACTATGGTAAATTACTTCAGTCAATAACAAAAACACAAACAATGCCAAACTAAGGACTTTAGCAAAAGGACCTGACACAGTCCTAGGTTGGGATGCACTTTTCTTTTGGTCTTTTCTACCCATAGCAATCAGGTATGAAGAGCTCCCTCTCTGGCTACTAATTCTTTTTAGGAGCTTCCTGCAGTGTCTTGGATGTCAGGTCTCCAGATATGAGTTTGGAAGCATGAGGAGGAAGAAAAGATAAGCCATCTTTTTCATCAAAAACATTACACATCCTCTAGAAAAAAAAGCTGATGGATGTAGCCTGAGTTTTTTTCAGCATTTAATTTCTTTTACCTTCTCACCAACACAAGAGAAGAATTTAGTCGGAGATGCAAAAAACAAAAGACGTCTTGGTTTTTTATACAGTTGAGGTAGACAGAGGGCAGAAAATTCAGGAAGTTTTCTGACAATATTTTTCTTACACCACTGCCTTCATGTTCTATATAGGAAGTAATATTTTCATTGCTATTTGTTAAATGTAATGCCTAATGCACTGAATGATGTGTTATTAATGTAACCAGTGAGAGAGAGGGGATGTGGAATGTGTCTGAGATGGCTTTCCAAAGGAACTGTCTTTTTATGATTTCCTGAGTAACCTTAGCTTTCAATATTAATATTTTATCAGTGAGAGAAACAATTCTGCCCTCATTACATTTTTGAAATGTGTGATGGTATATAAATCTGGCATCTTTGTGCTAAATGATATAACCAGTATTTTTATAATAGCTAAAAGTGGTCTCTGAGAGCTAGAAACCTGTGTTCTATTGCTGGATTTCCCATAGATCCAGTCACTGATATTGGACAAAGTAATTATAGGAAAAGATGTTTTCTTATCTTTAAGCTATGAACAGAAATATTTTCCATGCTCTTCCACATTTCCCCTAACTTTTTAAGAAAGAGATGTGAAATCTGATACAGGGCAGAATTTAAATTGTTTGAAGTACATTTGAGATTACATATAAGTTGAGATCCAGATGGAAGGAATTTCAAACCAGGCATAAATGTTTCATCTGTGATTGCCTTGTAGTGCTTTTTCTCATGCAAAATCTGTATAAAGTAATTGGATTACATTAGGTAGGATGCAGCTCAATGGTGAAAGACTGTGAATGTCTCATCAACTGTCAATTGCGATTAAAGAGTTCTCATGTGATGAGAACACACAAAGTGCTTGGATACGTGCACTCATTTTTACTACCTAATTATAGTTTAACTTTGAACATGGAAATCTTACTTGATGAGCCATAAAAATCTAAACTCTATCACAGCAATGTACTTTATAACCTGGACATTTATCGGGAGTTTAAGATAAACTAACAGTAAGAAATACAAAAACCCCACCAATGAGAAATGATTTCAATTACTTCATCAGAGAATATGAGGTTAACGGTGGAGTAAGGAAATGTGATGGAATACTTTACAAAATATTTATAGGAAGATAAGCTGACATGATGAAAGAGAATTGCTTTGAAAGAGAACCTAATGGACAAAGTAGTGGGAATGAAGTCGTCAAGTTTTGCAGCAGAATATAACCAAATATTGATACTATTAAAATATCAACAGCCTGTGCTGTTCTACAAAGAAGTGATTTGGAAAATAAGAGAGAACTGCAAAGTAACAAAATATGTTGATATTACAAAGATTACTTGACAGCCAGAACTGAACCAATTGTGAAGGGTTAGTGGGTTCTACCACCACTATTCAGGAAGGTATCAAATACCTTGGTGGAAACAAACTGTGTAAAATACAGAAGAAGAAGAAAAAATTCTTATTCCTTGCAGAATACTGAGAAGCATAGCTCTCTAAGCAGGACAAAACCCAGACTTCTGAGACATTTTAAAACTGTCTTATTCAAACCTGTTTTTAGAATTTTAGAAAACAAGATTAAAGAGTGCAACAATTTTTTGAGAGAATTTCTGTGATCCTTGGGTTAGAAAGACTTTCCTTATCTTCTAGAATTTTGGTGGATTAGTGGATTAGTCTTAATGAGGGCAAGTGGAAAGCGGAAAGATCTGCTAAGACACTGAAAGTGAGCACAGCACCACAAGGGGTACAAAGGAAGACAATAAAACTGACAGCAAAATTTAGTGCCAAGAAGCACAAAGTCATTTTGCTGACTGCAGAGACTTACAGAGTGAAAGGTGAAAGCCCAAAGAAATACCTCAGGTCCAACCAGCTATAAATTTTGTGATTTGAGCTCCTACCCTCATCTTCAATCCATGTATCTTTCCTCTTTACCTGATAAGCAGAATAAAACATCAGACATTCTGGCACGCTACAAATCAATTTCTATTACTCTACTGATCAAGATAATTTATCTTTGTCATACTTCAAGCCGTTCAATCTAAATGACACTGTTTGGTTTTAATTTTTGCTTATTCTACAGGAAGTGATTTTGTTTTGAAATTATGTCCAAAATTCCCATGTTTAATCAAATATACACTAATGTTCAAACAGTTAAAAAAGAATGATGTGACTCACTATCAATAAAATAATAATTTCCCTGTATTCACTCTATTGTTTATCATGACATTACTGTTTGCTTTGCATGAATGGTTTCTGCAATATTGACTCAATTTATGTCAATCTGCATTTTTACACATCCTTGAACAGCTTGCACTTTTTTTTTCTGAACGCTAGAAGTGCTGTCAGTCTTTATTTACTTTCCACTGAAAGCACCGACTCTCTATAATAAAATTCAGAAATGATAGAACAGAAACTTATTTAAAATGCTCCTGTGGACATAACCAAATAATATATATTTGAAGTTCTGAGTATCTGTCATTTTGAATATGTATGTATTTCTTTCCCAGGCAACAAAAACTGAGGACCTGCTTCTAAGTGTGCAGGGCCATTGCAAGCAATACTGACCTGCTAATTAAAATTTTTTATCATAAGAAGCTAAGCACTTAGTCCTTCCATTTCAAAATCTAGTGAGATTTTGAACAGTCATTCACAGTTTAGAGGATAAGAGCAAAAACCATACCAATGTCTCCAGTTATCCTTCAACGGGTGTCCAACAACAAAGAGTGGTGGTAGATCTTGAGACTGGTGGCAACTTTACCTTGATGAGAGATCAAGGAGGGATGAAAATCCCTTCCTTTCCTCAAGACCAGCATTACTCCTGATGTTTTGGCACATGCCCCAAAATAATCTCTTCATATTGGGAACTGCAGATGATTCCTCTTGTAGAAAAATCAAAACAAGGGAAGTACTGGAAACAGAAAGATATTCCTGCCTGCAGACAGTTCAAGGCAACTGGTTTTTTCATTTCTGAGACAGGAAAATCTGAAATTGAACACTATTAAGTTGCTTTCCAAATCTGAACATTCCCGAAGATTCATTACTTCAGTCCATCTTCAGTACAGAACAGTGTGGCATCCAGCACAGCACAAATTATTTAGTCTCTAATGTCACCTGTTCATGAGTTTTATTTTTTAAGTAAAAATTACCCCAAATAAAGGAATGTGTGCTCTGATTTACACAGTCAGGGAAAGAATATCTATTACAGGAAGTTTTCATTAAAAAAATTTAGTGCAGATCTTTTTGAATAGAAAAAAAGAGGTACGTGATCCTAAGTAAGTCTGGAAAGCTATCTAGTCATACTGAATAAAACTTACATCCAAAACATTATGACAGGAGCTATATTTTTTTTTTTTCTGGAAAAAGGATTTCTGGCTAACTCATACATCAAAGTGAAGAGTCAGTAACAGGGATAAGGTTACCATGACTGTTTTCATATTTTAAAATGCCCATCCTGTCTGTTCCGGATACACCATAGAGATTACTCCTCTATGTCTGTGAAATGCTGTGAAGGTGAATATATTTTCAGTATATTTATTAGAGAACACTTTACCCTGTCTGCATATAAATAATACCCACTCTTACCAATGACAAATTAAATGTCAAAGATGCTTTTCTACATTATCAGATACATTGATTTGTACTCTCCTATATTTATAACAAACTTCAAGCACATCTTTAGCAATGAAATAAGTTGTTACTGCCTTCCAGCATCTTTCTGAGAAAACCAGGTTTAGCAGGTAGCAATACTACTTATTTTAAGATAAACTTCTATTTTGTATTTCTCAGATTACTCCAGCTAACTTCCTCAGGCCCCTTTTCAACAAAAGAGCTTCAAGACATGCCAAGTATGGAGGAAGCACACCAAGCCTGAGGCAGCTCCTTCCCTACCCTATCCTTTCAAGCTACAGTCATTCCTTCAAAAGGCTGTTGTGTTATTGATGAAGAATAAACAGCAGGAAATGTCACATTTTGTTCTAATAAATACATAAACCACTACCAACTAAAAAATAACTGTCAGTTAATAAACAATTGGCAGAAATAAATCAAGCCGAAATATGACAAACTATTACACTCATTTAAATTCATAAAGTTTGCATGTTAGATATTGAATATTTTTTTCTTATGTAGTATAGGCTTTCCTCCCTAAAACAAGATTTGACTTGAAGTATATCTTCTAGTGGAAAAATAGGAGGGCACGAACTACCTTTTCAAGTGAGAAGAAAGCATCTCTTCTCTTTCTGTTCACTTAATAAATACTGAGCAGGATCTCTAGCCAGGGTATTAGTCTCCACCTGAATAGTCTCTTCTAACAGTATTGGAAGTTACAGTGCCAACTTCCAGAAAAATGCAACACCTGCCAGGGGATCATTAAACTTTCCTATTGCTATCTTCAATCAGAAAACATTACTTGGAATAAGATCTGGAGTCTGGGCATTTCATGTACCCACTGAGAGCGTTAACTATTTAGAAAACAATGTTTTAGGAGAATAAAATGTGATCCTAAGAAAACTTGTTTCTAAAGAAAGGTTTGGCAGGACACACTCGTTCAATCTGACTTAATTCACTCATGGTTCTGACATAAAGTTCCCCTCCAGACCCTTCATCATTTTGATGGTTTTATTTTAGTTTACCTGAAACTGACTCTCCTCCATGTTCTCCTTTCATGTTCTTATCTCAGAAACCACTTGGAACAAGAATCTTATCAGCTTCTGATTACAGTACTCAAGATATATCAAGGATTCATCTCAATATATGAAATAATTTTTTTTACAGATTATTCGCTGGAAAAACTTCTCCAGGAACTTGGTATAGTCCCTGTCACTGAAAGTTTCCAAGACATGATTGGATTTCTGTATTATCTCATCCAGGCTGTCTTTCCCATGACAGGTTGTACTGAATGATCTTTAGGCTTACCTTGCAACCTCTGATGTCTTGTGGTCCTATGTTCCTATGATTCCAAATTCAGAGGTGCCGTCTCTGGACTGGAGGATGTGATCTGACCCAGGCTCTACCAGATTTTCTGTTAGACCTGATACTATATTTCTTTACGGTTAATTATTCCAAGTTAGTTCTTAACAGAGCTCCCATTCTCAGAACAGGCTATAATGGTATCAGATAGATTAGAGTATGCAGATTTCTTAATATTCTGGATTATTGTTTTAAACCCTAAACTAATAGATATATAGGTAACATCATTTCTTTAATATTATTTTGAGTATTTCTTATAAATCCCTGACTTGAAAGAAGTTAATTTTGAGTTACCTTGAGAATGATGAATACATAATCTTAATGATTAGCCACACACATTTTTTTTTTGAAGACTCTGAGGTGTATAAATTATGGAGTAGATTACTAACTTTTGCAACCTAACTCTGAAGCAATTTTTTTTCCAATAGATATTCCATTATATAGGAACTATAGTATACTATTTCTTTGTTTATATCTTTTTATAGCACTTATATGAAGTATAAAGTACTCCATCATCATACTGTGCATTTATTTAAAAAAAAAGAAAAAAAAAACATGCTTCAATAAAAAACCTCTGTATGTGGACTACTACTGTAGAAAATCTATCCAGAAAATAATACTAAAATAAATACATGAACTAAGAAAATAATTGCACAGTAGATCTGACTTCTAAAACCTAGGAATTGTTTCACATGAGATTTTATGTTATAAACCACTGTATATTCAAAAACTGTGAAGAAAAAAAAAAGGCAGAATATTTCATTACAGTTCAGTTGCTTGCCTTAATTTTGAAAAGAATAGGCAAGGCCTCTTCACTGTGTGCAGTCACTCAACAAAAAATCATTGGAATTATTCTGAACTTGCATACCTTTAAGATAAGTAAAATTCATATCAAAATATCTAAATACTGTGGACTGTAGGAAACTGTTAAAAGAATAAATCTGCAGAAATAATTTATCAATCTCTTGGTAACAGAAAGTCATCTGGCTTCAATAAATACTTCACCGAGAAAATAATGTCAATTTTCAAACTAATTCAAGCTTTTAAAAATAATTTTTTAGTTTATTTATTAATTTTAAGGCTAACTTTTCTAAGATGCTTTTTTTGTACTAGTCATCTGTGTCATATAATGCGTGTCAGTCTCAAACTTCTGAGACCAACCAATAGTTCAAATAATGTTACATTCACTTAATGAAGATAATCTCAGCAAATGAGACAATACATTCTGCAGTGACATACAATGCACTTCTAAAGCTTTGTTTGTGGCAAGTGTCATGTTTCCTATGATACAGTCCAATTGTTTTTCTTCAGCAGATTCGTATCAAGTACTGTGGGGTGTTTAAGGGACCCAGAGACAGAAGTATTCTCCACATCCATTCTATCTTCCTCTAGCCTTGTTTGATCATTATTTCACAGCCTCGTCTGATATGTGATACCATTCCACCACCATTTTATCTGCTCATCTGCTGATTGCTTTCCTGACACTTTGCCCTCCAGTAATACCAGCCCTGATTGTTATCCCATCTTTTGCTAAAATAGAAAAAGAGTTTCAGTTTTGTCTCTCAGGTGTGTATGTTGAATGTCGATTGCATATCAACTGTTCAAGTATCTACCCACTAGCAGTTCCAAACTTTGGCTATGACAGACGAGCAGGTTTTAAAAGGAAAAGACATAAAGAAGATTATTTGAGCATAGTCCGCCATCAGGCATGCGAATTATAGACCAAATAATATCTATATATTCTTCATAGAGTTCTTTTCATACGGATCCTCTATCAAGTGGTTTGACAGACAACCAAGACACAAATAAATAGAGAAATAAATGTGAACGTTGCATATATTCTAAATGAGGGAAAAAAATTCTCTCTTAATTGCAGTGGTGTTCTAGCAGCAATTTAAATCAGTTATGTCACCTACCTAGTGACCAAAGTAGAGAATGAAAATACTCAGAAGATGGCAGAGATGAAGTTTTCCTCTGATAGTGTGAATAAAATCTGGCCACATAAACCAGAAGTTCCTCACATGTGGAACTGATTTGACCCACTGGCTGTGGCAGGGTAGATATGAACATTGTGCAGGCACTGCTGGCTACATTTTTGACACTCTGTTTAACTCATACTGGTGTGCTGAGATCACTGTCAAAATGTGCAGCTGAATGAATTTCCCTTATCTATTGACACCTGTGGAGCTGTACACATATGGAGCTGGTTGGATTTCTTGTTGCAGTGCTCGAAAAGTACTTGAAAGGAAAGATACATGATACCCATCCAGCACCACTCAACCCAGTTATGAAGCTAGTATGAACAGAATAATCATGATGTGGATTTTAATTTCAATTAAAAACAATCAAACAAAACATAGCCAAAACAACAAACTGCCTCTCTCCTTCATAAACATGAAATGGTAGCATTGCCAACTCTCACAAGCTGCCCATAGATTTGGGTTTTCTTTATGATTTCAGACAGGAATTGACATTTTAGTGTGCAATGTCATGAAGATCCAGAAAAGTGTACTGAGAGCATCTTTCTGAAATGATAAGGACAAGATGGAGCTTAACAAGTCATGCTTATGCTTTCAGGATATCATGAGGGATATAAGGACTATTATAACATTGCAGAAATTAATGCAACGATTCTTGTAGCATTCTGGAACGTTTGCATGATAATCTAATAACTGTCCAAATCGAAAACTTTAATATTTTTGAATTCTTTCATTCTCAGAACAAAAAAATGCCAGAATCCTTTTGTTTCCAAATTAAAAAAGAAAATATCTCTTACCTTTATGTGAAATATCTGGATATTACTACATTAAATACTATCTAAAGCACTGCTTTTGATGCACTGTGTAATCAGAGATCTTTTATTTTTATTATTTTGAAATATATTGTTTCACAATAATCAATCGGGAAGGTAACTACATGTAATAAATAGAACAAAGTAAGAGGTTTCCCAGGAGATTTTTACAGAATGTATTGCTTCTATTAAGCCTATTTTCACTGAGATATTACTTAGAATCTCTGTATTTTAACTTATCCAAAATTAACATATTTATTTCAGGTCATAGGATTAATTAGGAACACTAAGAAATACTTATTTCCTTTTACAGTTCTGTTCAGGTCCTCATGACTCACTCTTCCAAGTGGGATTCCTATGATATGCCTCAGAAACTTTGTTCAAACAGAGATTTCTAGCAGACAAAAAGAACAGGGATATCTGACACCTTGAATGGTATTTCTTAAAGCAAATAAGTACAAGACACTTAAAGTTAACCTGAGTAGAATATCTTCCTCATAACGCCCTCTTTCCCCCCCAGATGAGGAAAGAATAAGGAATAAAAGAAAGAAATACTTTAGAAATAAGAAATTAGGAATATTTTAAAGTAATCAATTTTATGGACAGTTATTTTCCCTTAGAAAAAATACAGAAAAAATCAGTGCTTATCTACTGGCAGCTCTACTTTTGCACGAAAATGAACTTTTAGAAACAGAAACAGAAGGGAATATTATAAATGAAATTAAATGTTGAAGTTTTTATTCCACTCAGGAGAAAAAATGAAACAGAAATATATCTACAAAGACTATTGAAAAGATGACTCCAGATAAGAAATAAAATCTTTTCTGTCAAGGTCAAGGAAGTATGTTTTTATCCTCTATTAAATTTATTTTACATAATGCATGGAAAGATAAACAGAAGTGAGTAGAAGACAGTGTTTTGTCTGAAACACACTTGAGAACTACTGCAAAAGTATTTTACAACTGTCTTCCCACATTTTATTTCTGAAGTGGTTCATAACTGTTTTCATATTATTGGTACTGTTTTGTAGTTATCTCTAATGCATCATTACCTTCATGTGAAATTGTCTTGAAAGCATACATTTCATATTATTACAGCATGTTAGTAATAAATTTGGTTTATATACTTCAGATATACTTCTGTCTGTGTCATCAGTGCCTTTTTTTGCACTCACAACATCATCTCTTTCATTCTGGACTCCTTTTTGGACACCACAGCTAGGAGTAAGTATTTAGAATTTTAAATTCAATTACCTCACGTCATCATTTGGAGATGTATTAAAACATGTTATGGGAAATCTCACAGAGAAGAAAAAAAAATCTAAACACAGGATTTTGAAGGTCGCATAACAGGTTTTTTTCCTTAGTTAAAATGTTTTCTCTGCTTGCTTGGCAATAATGAAGACAATTAGCATTGAAGAGCTGCATTATATTCTATAAAATGAGAACTGCTGTATTTTTTTCTCCAAATAGTTATATGTTGGAGATAGAGTGGCAGTAAAGCACCTTTATAAAGTATTTTTTCAACTTACTGTAAGTATGAAAAGAGGTATGAACATTGTTCATGAATAAGTCTGTGACATTATGGAAAGTTTTAGCACACCCGTTACATTGTGCAAAAATATATTATTTGGTATTCTTCCCAGGACTGTGTCCCCATCACCTTAAATGTCACCAGGGAAAAAAACCTTCCCCAGGACTTCACACTATCTCCTACTCTCCTACTCGCTCATCTCTCACAGTAGACAAATTTGCTGTGGCCAAGAGGTCTTCCAGCTGTGATTCCTGATGCAAATACAGCTGAGAGAGATAAATCAAGTGGTGCGAAGGCACCTTAAGGGAGGGATTAAATGCATGAGTTTACAACTAGAATAAGAGATTTCAGAGGCCTGGTGGTGTGGCAACAGGTCTGTCTGATTCCAAAGGCATTTTTTGCAGAAGGACAAGTGACATTCTTAAAGCAACTTTAACTATAAAAGCCAGACCACCCTTTAGAGCAAATTAATATTTTTTTCTGAGGTATTTTTTGACCTTTTCTTGTTCACTGCTTTCTAAAATTGTAATTGAATGATGGACTTAACCTCTACTCACAAGTGTATAGCTTTTCCTCCTGGTATTTTGTGTTGTAGAAATCTCATAAAATGCACATCTTATAAATCTTATATTTTCTGCTATTTCTTATAATGTTTATAGAGTTGAAAAAAACTTCACTGATACAAAAAATTACAAAAGCAGAGTAAGCACTATTTAAAGGTATTTAATCTATATTTCATGAATAATTTATATGCATTTTTATAAACAAAAGAGGCACAGTCCATATTAAATAAACAGTTTTTTAAAGTTCAGAATATAAGTAAAAATTTATATTAAATTATACTTGTCAACCAACCTTGGTGAGTTATATAATTATGGTCTTACTAAATATGCAGTTTCTATATTACCAATACACAGACCTCGGTCTGTTTCCACAGTACAGTTTTTTAGATGTAATTTTAATGAGCAGGTTTGCTGAACTTTGAAGCACTATCAACAGCACAGGAAAGGTTGCACACAGATAATGGTAAGAATTCCATTAGTACCAGTTGCCTTCCTCCTCTATCATCCCTTCCCCTTGCTCCCATCTAACACCCAAACAAGTTTTGTGCCTGCAAAAGGAAAAGCAATTATACAGGATGATTATATGGTATATGGGGAATTCAGAATACACTTATAGTTAATATCAAAATGGTTGAGACAAAAGCAACAAGTATGACAATCCATACTGCAATTCTTCCCACCACCAACTGTATGTTTCAAGCTCAGATATCCTCCTGCAGGCTTCAATAGTTGAAATAAAGCAAGTACTACAATTTTTGAAAATACACATTAACTTTATGTATTGTAAATATATACACTGTCTTCCCCTTCTGAACTTGCAGTTTATTTAATGGCAGACCACTGGCTTTGCTTATCGAACTGCAGAGGTGAGTGTGTTCTTCTGTTTAGAAAATTACAGAGTGGGTTTCAGTTACTTCAGCTTGGTCTTTCATGACCTAAAATGTGTGAATTTCTTCCACTTATTTTAAAGTATACTTGTTGAACAATGTATCTTTTCTGACCCTTCATTAAATTATCTGTAGTTTTTTAAAAACACAGAGGCGAAATGGGTTTCATTCTTGCAATACGTGGTTTTAAGGCATCCTTATAAACATTCAACATAAACTTGTCTGACAGTTTCAAACTTTATTATGTGATAATAAACTGAGAACAGCACCAGAATTGAGGTTTAATCCCAGCTGGTAACTAAGCACCTCACAGCCATTCACCTTTCCTGATGGGACGGGTGAGAAAAATCAGAAAAACCAGAAAATTCATGTGCTGAGTTAAAAACAGATAAATAGGTAAACCAAAAGCTACATACATAAGCAAAGCAAAACAAAGAATTCACTTCCCACGGGCAGGCAGGTGTTCAACTATCCCCAGGAAAGCAGGACTCCATCACACACAACAGTGATTTGGAAAGACAAATGCCATCACTCCAAATGTTCTCCTCTTCCTTTCTCTTCCCTGGGATTTATATGTGAAGCATGATGTTACATGGTATGTTTGGTCAGTTTAGGTCAGCTGTCCTGGCTGCGTCCCCTCCCAATAGCTTGTGCACCCTCAGCCTCCTTACTTTCATGGCAGCATGAGGAGCAGAAGGAAATTAACTGTACCCCAGGCAAAACCAGCACATTCAGAAACATGGGTATTAGCAAAAAACGGATTCCATTTTGAGAATGTACAGAGTCTAAAGTCATGTGTCACAGTCTTGTCTGGGATCAGGAGACAGACCAGAAACGGGGGTTCTTGCCTCACCTGCAGATGGTATAATGGCAAGTGCTGACAGGTAAAGTTCACTGATGTGAGGAGCCTCAAGTAAGAGACACACACACAGAAGATGTGAACACCTGCACAGCCAAAAGCTGATCCAATTTAGTAAACAAAATGGAGGGGTTTTTATACCCCCTGAGGTAGAACATACCAGAAAAGGGGCGTAACCAGGGCGGAGCATGCAAATCTACTCACAGTTATAGGGTAACAGCTAATACATAAACATTAGGGGGTGGTAACTTGGGAGGAGAAAATTTGGGACGAACTGATTGGTCTGTACCTCAGGATATGCTGACCAATGGGAAGCTGTATCCAAGCCTGTCAGGCTTATCAGTTCATGAGGGAGAAAGGGAAAATGGGGGAAGGCAACCTACGAATAGGTTTTTATATTTGGCTAAACCACTGCAAACAGAGTTTTAACCACACTGAAGTTCATTGTCCACCTTCCCGAGCTGGTTTTTCCATTCCTCAAAAGTGGTCCTGCTGTTCTCAGCCTCCTTCCACATCCTGAATGCGCTCTCCATATCCTCGTAGATACTCTGGTTTCCAATAGTCATGAGCACAAGTTCTGTTGTTATTGCTGAAAATACCATAGATATTTACTAACCATCAACTGCCTGTAGTGGAAACACTGCCTTCATTCTTCTTTTATCATTTGCTGTCATTTCTATTGTTTTACTCAGCCATGTTCTGAATCTGATTTTCACAAATTTAGCAGAGTGAAACAATGTAAAAGCTTCCTAAAGAGAGTTTTTGTTGAATTCAGAAACAGATGGAAGCAAGCAAACAATAACAATGCCAATACGTCAACAAATTACATGTTGTCTCTTGAGACAATCCCTCTGGGCTCCAATTCATTACCTTTACTTACACTGAATAATCACACAGATTTAACTTCATGAGAGGCTACATACAAAGTACAGTATTAAATACCACTAATGAATGTAGAATCAGGCTCACTGACAGAAACAGGAGTCCAATCATTGCTCTGTGCAAGGTTTGCTGAAACAAGCCAAATACTGGTATTCTAAATGTACAATCTCTGTTCATACACTTGAACTTTACTGGTAACCAGTTTTTAAATATTACTTGCATACCGACTATTCAGCTCATGTACTTTGTGAATTATGTATGTTGCTTAAATCCACTTGAAACTGTAAAGCCTTTGTGACATGATGATGGGAAACAAAATGTCTCTAATAGATTTTACACATCTGTCTTTTATTCACAAAACATAGGTTTCATTATACATGTGAAGTCTCCAAGATTAGATGACTCAATTAGGAGATCCTTGGTTTTGATTCATTGTATCAACAATAATCAATAATAATATCATCAGTTTGCAACATTTTGTAATAGAATGGTTATTAAAGTATTATAAAATATATTGAGGTTTTTTACAAATGAAAAGTTCTTAGGAAAGCTGCTGTGTCCAAACTAAGATGGTTCTTCCAAGAATATAGAAACATCACCCAAGCATGAAGAGAAGGAATAACGAGAGGCAAATCTTAACTGTAGTTGAATTTGGCAGTGGAAGTAATTGACAAGAAAAGCCTCTATTATCATGTTGCCAAGCCAAAGATAGACTGTAAAAATATGTTCCTAAAGGAAGACAACTTTATGACAAAGGCCACAGAAATAGAACAGGTTCTTTCTAGGTTCTTCATCTCTGTCTTTACTGATAAACTCCTCCTCGGGCTCCCAGGGCTCAGCCTTAAGGCAGTGTGGCACAGGGGACACATAACCCATAGGAGAAGAATGAAATAGGGACCGCACAAACAAACTGAACACCTACAAGCCCTTGAGACCCACTGGTTTGTACCCAAGGTGGTTAGAAGTGCTGGGTGATACCATTGTGAAGTGTTGCTCAAAATGAAAGTTTTCTTAGGATTGAGAAGAAAAATTTCTACAAGAGTTTCTACAAGAAAATCAAGAAGAATCTAGGCGACTATGGGTAGTTGTCCTGACCTTAGTCCTGGGAAAAGTAATACATCAAATTTTCTTGGAAACCATGTACAATGATAAGAAGGACTAGAAGTTGATTGAGAAAAGTCAGTGTGGTCCCCTACCCCAGCCACAAAAAAATAAGTCAAGGTCCCACATTTAAGACCCTCTCTGTCCTACCCCAAAGAAACCACATTTTTTTTTCTCTAAGTATTACTCTCTCTGTATAAATATTTTTTTTCTTTCTTCTAAAAACTAGGATGTGTTAAATTTATAAGCTGATGCTGCTATGTGTAAAGTCTATAGTTATTGGACATAGTCCAGTTTACACCAGTGTAACTAAAAGACTTGGGGTTTTTATGGTGATAGATTTTTGTTTACAGTTCAAAAGGGAAAATATAATTTGATTTGCAGAGTTTGAAGTGATTTATGTAGCAGTTTCTGGCTGCTGTAATCAAAATTGAAGAACTTATATTATGATCTGTACACAGTGATCTAAGATCCCATTTATAAGCCTAATATAACATATAATAGAATACTGAACCATCAATCAAGAAATTGAGACACTGATGACTAAATTATACAAAATGTGAAAGATTCATGACTCAACTGCTGAAGTGGAATTTTTAGGGTACTGTAAATATCAGAGAATTCAGCCTACACTGATGCAAGTTCATAAATTCAGTTTACAAACCTAGAGTCATGTGGAAAAGAGAAATGTTATATACCATGAGTAAGACATTTCTTTCCTCAGAAACATGATTTTCCTATTTCATATTTTAACCAAGAATGCATTTCATGACACAAATACTGAACTGAACAGCACAAGATTGAAAAAATCTATTTTAATAGAAGATATTTTTCTATTTGCACTAGGAATTAAAAATTAGTTGTCTCAAAGTTACATACACTGAACATCAGCTTTACCTTCTGGTAAGTTATGGGCAAATCAAATACCAAACCATACCTGACACACATTTCTTATAAATTGTAATTCAAAGGAATTCTGACAGCCTAAATAGTCTTTAATAGTCTAACTACTCTTTAATTAATTTATAGCCTTACTAATAGCTATTTTTTTTCCTGGACTGAAAAATAGTTCTTTATGTAGCAGCAAAATGTAGTACTTCCGGGTTTAATAATATGACTTCAGGGTCACTGATTTTTCATTTTTTCTACCTTTTTCTTCCTCTGAAAGTTTACTCTGTGAGGCAAGTGCTATTGATTCCTATGTGTTGGCAGAGGGAGGCTTGGCATTGAAGCAGAACTTCTACATGATTCTGTAAGATAAAGAACAATGAAAGGTTACTGACAGTGGCAAGTATAGCTGAACCACAGAAAAGTTGTATGAAATCTTTGCTGGAAGTTCTGTCATGAGGCTAAATGGGGGGCTGATACTGACATTCTATGGGTCATCATATTGAATTGTCTACAAATGTAGCTTGACTTCTGTCATGTAGAAAACTATGAGAATGGATATCAACCTTCTTCACCCCCATCTGATCATGAGAAATCACTCTGTAGTAGGAAAATGTTAATTAAGTCAGTCTCAGATTTTTTTGTTTAATTCTTTCTTTAGTATTTCAACAACACATTCTCAAATTCCAAAACATAAGAAAAATGTTAAATGGGAAGCATAAGACAATTTTCCCTCTAACATTTTTTACTAAGAAAATTAACATTAGAAATCTGTCAGGGTTTTAACTTTGTTTTCTCTGCATTAAGGGTATACTTACTGGTATATTCTTAAGTGGAAATGCAATGTTACATGTCATACTGGTGTAAAGAATCACAGTGTTGGAATAATGGAATAAATCCTTACTCTTTTACTGCTGATACCTTAAATTACTTTTTATTTGGCAGTTCTCCAACAGCAGAGAGTTCTTAGATGATCTGTTATGCCATGCCCTCTTATTATAAAAATCGAATAAGAAACTGCAACCCCAAGGGTAAATGAAAGCAATTTCTAATAAGATATCATATTTATTTAATAAAGTCATAGTTATAACCCTATCTAGCATAGTATTAATATTTTACTATGTCTAATAGAACATGAAATGTTCTGCAGTATTATTAAGAATTTCTTTATAAAATTCATGTATAAAAATGTTTTTCATTTTCAAATTACTTATGTATGATGCTTGAATAGACTAAGTTGTGTCACCAGGAATAAACATGAGACATGATTTTAACGACAAAATGTTAATATCATTACAAAAATTAATTGGGTAATGCAACTTGTTTACTTCAGTCACTGCTGGCAAATATTTACTTTTACAGAAACAACATGAATACTAACATATTACTTTTGATGATCTATTTCTAAAATATTTAGTCACTTCTGATGGTATTTCTCTGAGAGTAATAGACCCTGCAGCTGTTTCCTCTTAAGTTAAATACTAAATATTTACATTCCTTGATTCTCTCAAACTTATATTTTCACACACATAATAAATTAGTTTCAAGACATAGACAGAATAGCAAATATAAAACTTGTTGAATCAAGGATACCTGTCAGCCTTTGATAGGGGCACCCAGGTGGTCTTGTGATTACAAAGCAGAACTCAGAAGATACTTCAGACTGACTGCTCTTCCAGAGCTATCATATGCTTATTGTGGTATATTCGTAGAAGACTGCCTTTCCTTCAGCTATGACAAAACCTGACACTGAATGTTACAAAATATAAGCATGATTTTTGTAGTACATTTGGCATACATTAAAACATAATGCAAAGCCATGCCACAATTTCAATTCTATTCAATGAAATAAATAAAATCCAAGCCAATTAATTATTTCACCAGGATATCCAATCATTGTGGAAAATTTCCAGATTACTAATTAAAGGAGAAAGATTTCTTTTTCCCTTGGAGTTTATTGTTACAATCATTATTATGTTTTTTCAACACAATTTTTACACATGCAAAGTGACTCAGTACAGTTGCATTTCTCTCTAAGAAATACAGTAAGATAGTCATGTTCGTCAGGTATGACATGTAACAAGTCTTTTGTTTCCCCTGCTGTGCAGCTCAATAGAAGCAACATTATAATCAACTACATAAACATATAATTATGTTCTATTATCTTCAATTCTGTTGTAGGGACCTTCTTACATCTCTTTATTAACATGAAAAAAATATTCATGTTAAACTACAGTTAACAAAAAAAAATATTGCTTTAAGCATAACCTGTGTTCTGCTTTAAACACAATCTTTATTTTTTAACAGAAAAGCAAATCAGATGTTTCTAAAAATGCTTTTATTTTAGGTTTTAACTTAATTAAATACTTGTGTTTATACAAGGTAAATAAACGTATCCAGATATATTCTAACTTTTTCAGTGGATGCTGAGAAACTGCAAGGGCCTTTTACTGACTAGAGGTCAAAAATAGTCAAAGATAGTGATGATATCCCTGAGATATAAAAAAAAGCCTAAAAGACACAAGAAAATGTAGGGAAAAAAAATCCAGTGTTTTCATAAATCCTATATCCTAAAAATCCTGTAGTTCAATTAACTTTTAACACGCCTTAAATACTTTCCTCTGGAAGGAAAATAAAGTTAGAGGGGTAAAGATGAAGTGTACTGGCAAAAATATGAGTGGTATATGAAAGGCAACAACACTAATCTTGAAAATAAAGTTATAGATTGAAGATTTACCAATCAGATTCTAAACCAGTTCTAGATCATGAATGACTGTGAGTCTATACTTTTCAAATTATTAACTAGTTAAATGCAAACACTGACATTTCATTCTTTGATATAATCTCTTAGAATAATGACTGATATAAAAATTGTTGTACCAAAATGTCATGTCACTTCCTTAAAAAAAAGAAGACATTAAAACTAATGTCTTCCTAAATAAACAAGAACCCTGAATATATTTGAAGGATATACCGTGAAGTTAATTTTGTTAATAATACTTTGGTAAGGCTCAACTATTTATTTATCTAAACTGTGGAAGAAAAATCTCAGATATACAATTACAGAAAAAAAAGACTAGATACCAAGGGTCTAAGAAAAGACCGATTTTTCCAGCCGTACTCAGCTTTCATGTATGAAAAACATTTAAGAGCACTTTTGTAATTATAAGTTCCTCCCTACTGATACGTGGGTCTGCCAAAGGTGCAGCCAGTGAAGTATGCAAAACAAAAGATTCACATAAATCTCACAGAAAGAATGGTAAGTAAAAGAAGTGCTTTAGGATCTCTGTATTTTAAGCATAGCCAGACCCTAAGGAAATCTTTCAGATCATAAGCATTCATATCTTCATATTTCTTTATATTTTTGTTCTGCAACAGAAGAAATAGTATGTTTTTCCCAAAGAGGCAGTCAGAGGGAATATAAGCAATTCTCAAGTGAGAGTCATAATCTGTTCCCTGGACATGTGAACAGTGCTTTTATTTATCTCTCTTCAAACATAATTTTGAACTATCCCACATGGTTTCTAACACATATTTACATAAACAACAGTTAGAGCTGTGAAAACAGCAAAGCTCAAAATAGATTTTACCTGTTCCAACTATCTGACATTTAGGAATCCATTTGAAACTAGCTACCTAAAACGCCCTTTTCCAGCCAGGAAAAGTATTTCTCAGAGATATTTGATGTCCAGGATAAGTAGAAAAATTCTCTATCTGAAGTTGACATTTATTCTCACCTAAAGGAAGATTTAGGCATTTCAATTACTTGTGAGTAAATTTTAGAATAGTTGTCAAAATTTTAGATGAGATAAATGCTAGGCTTTGAATGTGGTGTCAAAGGATTGATGTCTTTTTAAAAAAGACAAACAAACAAACAAAAAAGATCCTGAATTCATCTTCTCTCTGCTTCACAACTGAGTATATCTGTGGAATGTTCATCCTTCACACAGATTTTTGTTTTTTAAATACATTGCAATATACCTAAAGCTCTGCATGTGACTTCAAAACTAGCAAAAGAAACTCATCTGCCACACCTTTGCATTGCAAAATGCTGTCTGTTAAGGTATTAACTCACTTGAAGAGATTGATCCTGGTAAACTTTCCTGGACCTAAAATTAGGAAATTACATTCTAGCATAGTATATTCCTATTAAAAATCAAATATTAAATATCTTCAGTTTTTTTGGAGCCCACAAAATGAAGCTCATATTGAAGTACAAACTAGGAGAAGATGCTATCACACATGACAACTGCTGGCAATGACACAGTGATACATTTCTTTACAAGACTTTTTTAGTCTGTCAGTTTATTTTTGGATGAACGCAAGGCATTGACCAACCAGGTTCAACTCACTAATTACATATTCTTACAGGTCCATAGTACACTTCAGCATGTATAATGTCTCATAAAATCAAATGTCAACAACACTGGAATACACTTTCTGAACAGAAAGTTTAGATTTTTCTTGCTTTTCTGTTTCTTGAATGGGATAACATTTTAGGTATTGTAACACATACTGTACTGTACAATTACATATTGTAGCACAAAAATGTGTTATGTTTTGTTTAACATTTTAACTTAAATATAAGTGACACAAAAAGGCCATGGTATGGTTATGTATGTCTTCATTAGTAATGACATATGTTTAAACATTTTTCTCATGAAACATGTTCTTCATTAACTATATTTTTTGCATAGGAGGACGAACATCTGTTCTTTTCTTCTGCAATATACATAGTTGCATGGCAACTGAGACATTACTGTCCCTCAGTAACTATGCTTGGTAATCTATTTAAAAATGATCTCATGCCAAAAATTGACTGAAACATTAGCCTGCTGTCACATACATTATTTACTGTTGAGAAAGAACGTTATCTTCTTTCTGTTCTATTTTCCTGTTAACTTTACTGCTATGCAACTAAACACACAGTCTAGACAATTCTTCATTTCAATACACCCTTCCTTCTAGGAACAGCCAGACTACCAGTTTAAATCTTAGAATAAAGAAAAAATGTTTATTCTCTCTGTTTTTTCAGAAACAATGCATTAACAGATCCTTACTTATAGTGCCACAGAAAATATTTTTCTACACATACAAAAACACAGAGCACTTTAACTAGTTAAAAGATCGTGATCAGTGCATTAGCTGAATAGCATTTAGTCAAAACAGATTTCTGTTTTCTATTCTCTATGCTCTTTTAGGTTTTGGCGAGCACAACTTAGCCCATCTTAGACAAGAGTTGTAACATGACTTACTCCATTCTGCAGACTGTGAAAATTTACTTGCTCACAGTACTTTTATGCTATAAAGACCTATGTAGGCAGTGACATAGTGCAGAATGAATGAATGAATAATCAAAATATTGAAAAAATGGGACATGAGGTTTTTTCAGGGGAGGAAAATAACAGTAGCATCTCAACAGTAGGATCTCTGAGGTAACCTGTGCAATGCAACTTATTGTCAAAAGGGGTGAATAATAAAGTGACAAGTTTTGTTGTTGGTACTAAGCTACTAAATCAAGATCAAGAGAAGAACTTCAAAAGTTCTAATACTTACAGGTTAAATTAACTGTAAATAAATGTAAAATGCTGTGCATTGGAAAATATTACATATGACTGACAGCTCAGATGAAAATTTGAAACTATAATAGATGCAAAATGTTGGCTCACTACTCAAAAGATATCAACTCTAAGCAATTTAAAGCTAGAATTGTTGAGAAAGAAAAAGGAGAAAAGGAGATTTGTGACACACTATGAATCCCTGGTTCAGTAGTATCCTGATTACAGTGTGCAGTTATGGGTACTGATCCCCTCCATCTGAAAAAGGATTCAAAGGAATTTCTGAAGATGTACAGAGAAAGGATTACAAGAGGGACTTGAAATGGTTTCTGTGCACTGAACAGTGGAAATGGAGGAACAGATGACTAAAGGAGATATGAAAGAGATCTTCATGGTCATGAGGGACAGTGAAAAAAGTAGAAATCCATTTTTCACTGTCTCTTACAGAAAAAGAATTAGGTGATACCAGATAAAACTAATGGATGGCAGTTGCAAACAAAAGTCTTCAGATGATGGATAAGTAATCTGGAAAACAGCCAAAGGGGACTGAAGGCAACAAATGCTTGTAAGGATGGAAAAAGTAATTTGATTTTTCCTCCAAGGATTTGTTCATTGAGGGCTACTAAACACAAGGATGCATACTCTGATATGTATCATGCATCCTTACTCTGTTCTTATATTCTTGCTTTGACACCTGTGTTTTACACACTTAATGTCATGAACAAAACAGACTCAACATGGGGAAAATTATTTTAATTTATTGCAAATTAAAAGTAGAGCCAGACAGTAAGAAGCAAAGACAAAGCTAAAACTCCTTTCTGTCCTTTTCTTCCCAGACTGAAAACTACATAAGACTCGATAATATTAAAATAGCATTACTAATATTTGCCAATTTGAGGACGGAGGGCCTTAAATCTCTTCTTTTGCATTGTGGCTTTTGCAGAATAGCAGGGATAAAAGCAGAAACACTTTCTAATCTTTAGTTAGGAGAAGTAAATAAATGCCTGTATGAAAAGACAACCCACTGATATTAATTACTTGGCATTTAAAGAAAGCTTGACATATTCTACAGTAGAAATACAAAGCTGAAAGGCTCATAGCAATTCTCAGCTGCTTGCAGTAGTATTCCCCAATTGCATTCTCACTAATACTACAGGAATAGAATGAAGCTGACACGCTATACTGTTTTCTCCTTTGTAACCATAGCCATGAACCTTACCAGTGCAGAGCACTATATCCATAGTTAGTCCTGTACTTTTTGCAAAATCAATTTAGATATGAAGAGCATGTTTCCATGCTGAAGAACTCTCTACCTGTCTTTTAAGTGAACTTGGATTAATCTCATCAGTTGCTCAGTCTGGATTTGGTTGAACACTGACACATTTGTTCATCAGCTGGATGAGTAATCCTTTGACTGGGTTTTGACCTGAAATCTGAGGCAAATCTGTTTGTTTACTTATCTGAAGCTGATTAATGTCATTATTGATTGCTGCAGTTTGTTTACCGCGGCTACAATGTCACAGGTTAATTTTACTTGCTGTGGTCTTAACACTATATCTCCTAAATTATTGACTTTTGTGCATGCTACTCCTTCATTTTGTTTACTCACAGTAATAAATCTTCAACTTTGTTTAAAAAGAAGCACTACAGCTCTACTTAAGTGACTTAAATGTCACACCAAGGGAAAAAGCCTGCAACTGCATCAAATCTTTACCCCAAAGTAACATTACTTTCTAGTATCCTTAGTACCGTGTTCCCTTCAAAAGTTGTAGTTTGCTTTATGACAAACAGTTAACTTTCATGATAATTACATGACTGTTGTAATAGAAAAGCCTTGTCAAGTTCTCCACAGTTCTCAAAAAAACCCTCTAGCCTGATCAACAACTTCTGTTTTATTTGAGTATTACTTGATATTCACAAGGACCCCATGGTAAGAAACTTTCTGCTCGATAAGTGTCCTATCATAAAGCTTGTTACACTCAAAACCCATATTATGGGGACAGGCAAACATACCTTTTGGAGCTGATATCACTGAGATAAGACAATCCTGCACTAAACAAAGCTGGATTCTGCATGTCTCTAAAATCCCGTTTTTATTTCAATTAAAGTTGTAAGGGGTGAGGAAAAAGAAACATCAAAATTTGTGATTAAATCCAGAGAACTGGGGAACCTCCATCCCCACAGTTAAATATCATCATTCAATAGTAGAACTATACTGTTTCATATTTGATCACCCAGTGCTTAATGTAAAAAATATAGGTCTTTTTTAGGACCACAAAACTAAATAGTCTTTATTTTTAAATTGTTCTTGAAGCAATAAATGTTGGCAGCCAATTAGGTACTTAAAACATTTGACAGTTCCAGTATGAATATTACAAAGTATTATAACCTTTTGATTTCAATACAACTGTGTTATTTTGAGATTTTTTCAGACATTTTTTTTCCGTCCTTAAGGGAAACTAGGCATCTTACTGTACTTGTAGATAATATACGCAAGCCTGATGCATATATGTCATGAACATCATTGCTTTTAAATGCCATTCTGATTTCTCTATATTCAGAAAAGGTGTCTCTACACATAACTTAAGAAAATTATGTAAAGACTTCCCATGGTTTACATTGTCATATCAGTTCAAGAGTCACCACAACAAGTAGTTAACATAATGTATATGTACAAATGCCTGCACTCAGAAAGTCATATTAATGCAGATTTTCACTGGACAGAGTAAAAAGCTGCAACATTGTAAAAAATTAATATGTAAATATTTTACCTAACACATTGATTTGACAAGCTGTCAGGAAAAGTCTCTGATGGAGATGTATTTAAAGTTCACACTGAAATAAAAACATAGAGTTCTTTTTAAAGATTTATCTTCTTGGCCTAAAAAAGTCAAAGGGCAGAAAAATTAGAACATCCACAGAAAGTATACAATATGATCATCTGAGAATAGAGTAAGATTTATTTTAGCCAGGCATCTGTGTCTCATGGCAGCAGGCCTCTCCAGCAGCAGACTCAAAGTCCCAGAGCTGGTCTGGATCACAGATGGTCTGGAGCACAGGCAGGCAAACCAAGGGCCCTCAACATCTCCTTATGGGTCCTGACCACGAAGGAGCAAATATGGGTTGAATAAAGTGTTTATGTTCACAACCTCTTCATGCTGAGAAAGATAGTTTTCTGTTTTGCAGCAGCTTTCTCCCCCAGTTTTCCTGTTCAAAAAGCTGAATATGAAAGCAATCACTTTCAGAAAGTACAGAAGTTTTGAAGATGTACTGGAAAGAGACAAGGACAATGATTTTTGTGTTATGGAGGTGTAGAACCAGTTTTTTAAGGATTCAAATGATTATTTAAAAATCTGATAATATTCTACAGAGGAACTGAGAAGAAATGAGTTGATGCTGGCTATAAAGCGAATGACCAGTGCAGGAGGAAAAAAAAAAAAATATGCTTCTGTGCAAATGATATGAGATAAATAATTAAATACAATGATTTTCTTTCAGAAGTATTGTGGAAGAAATGAAGCCATATCTACCACATCTTCTGATTTAGAGGCAAAAAAGAAAGTTGTCGAATACATATGGCAATTGAACAAGTAATATTCAGGGCACTGAGACCAGAAAAAGTAGTATGACAGCTTTTCTTCAAGCTGCAATTTTACCTGCCTCATTATAAATCAATTCAAATTGTCTCAGATAAATAATCTCCATAAATGTTTGTTTGACTGTACTCACTTACTCAAACAGGAGAGTACCTTCACTCATTTTCCATATATATATATTTCATACCAGTTATTTTCCAAAAGCATATTTTCTTTCTAGAAAAGTCATCCACTTGGCTACACAAAAGTTAGAAACTTCAATTCACCATAATAATCCAGCACTAGGCTGATTTCATTAGGTATTCCAATTTATTGGTATATAGTACTCTTAAAAAAAAAAAAAAAAAAAAAAAAAAAGCTTTTCTTTCATGACCCCATTTAAATTTATTTAACAATAAAAATTTATTTAAGAACAGGTCATGTCACCTGCCTGCCAAAGATCTCATTTCCTCCAGTTTAAGTAGAGGTTTCAAATTTTGTTTTCCCTTTTTTAGAGTTCAAAACTTGCTTTGAATTTTTATCTTCTCAAATGCCTTGAAATCCATTTAACAGTGCATCTGAACCTCTTGGTAGATTTCAGAAAGCAATTTTGGGTATGGGAATGAGAAAGTGAATAGTGTAGAGTGGGAAACATTGTACTGTAAAACCACAGATCTTCTGCAGGAATTTAAACTGCTGAACATTACTCATTCCTGGACAAAATTGTAGAGGAACAGAGTAAAAGCAAATGCATCCTAAAGTTCATTGATGGCAATTTTAGTAATTTAAGACACAGCATGGTCACACCTGAAAGAAACAGCACTAGTATCCTCAACATCCAAATTTTAACGCTGCATTTAAATATCTGGTGTTTCCAGGGTAGTTTAGTCAGGCTCTTGAGGGCACCACCGAGCCCTTCTGTCCCTGTTCGGCTTGTCCTGGGGCATCACTCCATCCCTGTCCATGACTCAGGACCCCATCTCATCTTGGCCCTTAGAATAGAATAGGCCCTTTTTTGATCCCTGTTGGGGCACTGAAGGGTCCAGCACCCTGGAGCCTCTCCCGGGTGGGTGATGGCATGGCCTGGCAACCAGGGCCTGTCCCATCCCCAGGCATCCACAGGGCAGCCAGGGGCACCAGGTCCCAGCCCTTGCATCGGACATCTCCCTGGGGACAGGGACAGGCTGAGGGTGGGCTGGGACTTGGGCCAGCGGGTGTTCCTGTCTCAGCAGAGCCCGTGGTTGGGCAGGGCAGGGCTGTAGGGAGCTGCAGTCTGACCCTGCTGCTCCGGGGTCACTGGGGAGGGGGTCACAGCCCCAGGGAGCTGATGTGGGGTCCTGAGCTGTGGGCAGGGTGAGAAGAGCCCAGGGGGCTGGGCAGGGAAAGGGAAGGCTTGCAGTGCCCTCGGGGCCATGACCTGTTGTGCAACAAGCAGTAGTGGATCAAGGGTTGGACTTCATGATCTCAGAGGTCATTTCCAACCTGGCTGATGCTATGACTCTCCAGGAGTGGTTTGGAGAAGCAGTCCTTTAAGACTTTGAAATCCCCCCTGCAGTTCAGTTCCTCCTTCAAGGAGTGAAGCAGATTGCTGCTGAAGTTACTGTCTAAATTACAATGCAGCCAGGTGCTGAGCACAATGCCTGCTATTGACATTATGTATGACTTTCTACATATTTGGTCTATAGTTCAGTAAATTAAAATCTGCTGCCACTAGAAGAAAGCACAAGGCTCTATACTGCCCTAAAAACTCAGGTGTCAGGAACTGTCTGTTTGTAATATTTTGGCATGTGTTAGTGTTATTTTACTTGGACTAATAAAAAATACATCTGCATTTTCATTAGACTGTTAACATGTTAGTTTGCTAACAGTAAATTGCTGACTCCCCATGTCAGTTTTTTCCACCACAAGATTTTGAATTTATCAAATCAACTGACTTTCTTGGGACCTCTAATTTTTAAATTTAATGTAAAGATGCTACTGAATCTGAGCAGAAGTGAATGCAAAGGCTGACATTCAGTCAGCCTAACAGATTACCAAATGACCTTCAACTTTAGATGTGTCACACGGTAGTC